AAGAGCGGTACTTGCATCCTGTCCTTGTCCCTATGCGGCCCGGTGGCTCCGGGGCTGTGCACGGGGGCAGAGGACCCGGGGACCCTGCCGGGCGCAGTCCGCGCACACCGAGCCCTCAGTGCTGGCCGTCCTCCTCGGCGTCCTCCTCGGCGTCCTCCCGCTGCCTGCCAGCCCGAGGGCAGCCACGCCACCCTCACACGGCTGGTCTCGTGGAGATTGACGGCCACTGACCAGCGAAGGCAGCAGTCGGTGGCAGGGGGCCCGCGACGACGTGGCCCTGATCCACGGCTGATGGGGGGCACCGCTCGCCGCGGCCTTTCTGAGGCTGGGCTGTCGCTTCCTGCGGCCGAAGTGCGTCCCCGGGGCCCGCATGCTGGCACCCTGGCCACGGCCCTCAGGTGAACTTGCCAGCAAAGAGGGCTTTGCAGAAGCGGCGCCGTCTGGAGCAGGAAGGGTCCCCGTGCCTGAGCCTGTCCTTCCACGAAGGGCGTTTGGACGCAGACACGGAGGGGGACCACGGGTCCGCGGGCCGCGGACAGAGGCCTGGAGCCCGCCCTTTGCCCCCTCGCAGCCTCAGCCGGGGGAGGGACCCGCCCGCGACACCTTGGACTTCCGGCTTCCAGACTGCGAGGCAAGTCCTGCGTGGCCTCTGCCATGGCGGCCAGTACAGACCGAGGCTGCGACGTGCACAGAGACCGTAAGGCAGACAGGGCACCGGCCCAGGGACCTCTCGCCTTCGTGTCTCCTGAGGCCCACGGCACAGGTGGGCGTAGCCGGGCCTTCCCGTGACGCTGAAGGGGGCCGATGGAGCCCTGCGGACCCCGACTGACTCCTGAGTTCCCTGGAAGCTTCGTCCCGACTACCAGGAAAGCTCTCGTGGGCTTCGCTGTCTGTGTCTCCTCCTTCGCTGAAGTCACCGTCACCCTCACTCTGCTGGACAGCACTGTCCCCGGGCACGGCCAGGGCCCACACCCCGGTGCCCTCATTGCGTCCACAGTCGGAGCTGGAGCTGAGTCTGTCCACGGTCCCAGACCCGAGTCTGCGGGGCGGCCAGGCCCGGGCCCAGGGCAGGGGGTGAGGCGGGTCCCACGACCTCACCCCACCCAGGACACTCCGCTGGCAGCGAGAGTCACCAGCCTTTGTGACCGGGCCTTCCTTGGTCGGCTTTCTCATCGTCTGGCAGGCGACAGGCCCTGGGCCTCCAGCCACCCGAGTCTGTGGCGTCCGGCCCACCGGACTGTGCCCATCTCAGCGCTGACCGCGGCGTGGCCAGCGGTCCTGCTTCCTGCCCACTGCGCACATTTCTGCCTGAATGAGCGCCGTGTCCCTACCTGGTCGCCAGCCTGCCCGAGTGTCCTCGTGGTCCGTGCACGCCGGTGACCGGTGCATTAGCAAGTCTGCCAGGGGGTGGGCCGCCCGGCAGAGGCGCCTTCCTTCTGCTCTGAGCTGGCTGATGTCTTCTGTCACCAGAGGCGGGACAGCCGCAGGGACCCCTCCGTAGCCCCGGGGGGCCCGGTGACCCCAGCGCTCTGTACTCGCTGGCTGAGCAGAATTCCGATCATAGCATCTCGCCGTGTGGCCTGTTTGCCGGCCACACAGGGCCGGCTGGGGCAGCCCTGCTGACCTCTGAACTTTGACCCTCTAACTGAAACAAGGTGGCATTCCAGGGCCACCAGAGAGTGACTCTGAACCTCCTCACGTCCCAGGTCCCCTGACGGTGATGAAGGGCGTGCCTCGTCCACTGCCCTGGTTTCAAGGCGGAGGAGGGGGAGGGTCTGTTCACCGGCGGGAGGGCCGGGTGACCAGGTCCCCTTTCTCCCGCACCGGAGGCTGTGTCCGTGTGGGTTCACTGTGCGGACTCGGTCGGCGGGGACAGGCCGGAAGAGACGTGGGGTAGGCAGGCCGCAGACGACACCCGGCCCTCTGCCGCCTTCACACAGGACTTGCAGGGAGCTTCGGTTCCTGCTTTGTGGCAGAAGTGTCTCTGCTCCCCCCGCCGTCAGGCCGCGTGACGGTGCTGTCCCCAGGCCCCTGGTCTGGGGACGTTCAGTCTGGGAGAAGTCTCCACCGCACAGATCCACGTTTATGTTTGAAGTGTCCACGCTGCCACCATGAGAACCAGCGTCCGCATCTGGGGGGAGTGTGAGGTTGTGCTCTGAGTCTGAGACGGACCAAGGCCATCGAAAAGCAAGACGCACGTCAAACCTACAGAGAACAGCGACACGGCCGTGTGCGCACCGCCAACGTTCTGCCGTGTTTGTGGCAGTTTCACTAAGAAATAAGGCCCAGAGAGGCCGCGGAGGGCCCAGCGCCCGCCCGCCCTCGGACTGCTGCCCGCCTTTCCGCAGACGGTGCCGCACCGCACACGGTCCACAGACGGTCGGTCCACAGTCAGAGACGCGGAGTAACGCAGTTTTACGTAACCGCGTCCTTCTGGAACGAACTTTTTCACTCGACGTTTTATTTTTGCGATTTAATGACACAGCAGATGCCACGGAATGTGCTTGATTTCACCGGTGGGCAGCGTCTCACGCGCCTGGGCCGTGCCCTCGGGTCACGATGGTGCACACTCACGTGGTCTGAGACCACCCCGCTCACCAGCCAGCCAGGCCACCCCATCGCGGGTGCTGGCGGAAGGTGTGAGCTTCCCGGGTCGGGGGTATAGGACTTTTATGCCCAGCCAGAGCAGCAGCCAGCGTGCCAGCGCATTCGAACGGGCTCCCGAGCCCCAGTGCCCGCGGGGTGACACGAGGGCCCGGTGACAGCTGCACACGCAGGGGGTTCAGCTGCAGGACAGACCCCAGATTTAGAGTGGGCCACAGGAAGCCGCCTCTCTCTCCTGGAGTGAGACAGTCCCTCGTCCTGAGAGGCTCCGCCTTGCACATCCAACCCTGAAAAATGGCCGAGTGAGGAGCAGCCAGGGCGTTGCAGTTCGGGCACGGCCCAGGGGACCGTCCGCCAGCTCCCGAGTGCTGGCTCTCGCAGGCGCACGCGGCCGCCCTTCTCCGGCGCAGCTCGGGCCGGGGGCTGCCCGTCCGCACCCAGTGCTGCCCTGCCTGCCCAGGACGTGCCCACGGTGGGACGGTGACACAGGGCGGCCACCCCCTCCGTGCGAGGCAGCGGGAGGTCTCCAGGTTGGGGCAGGTTTTGTGTGGACGTCGGTCTGCATTTCCCGGGATGGATGATCAAGGGGCTGTTTCTGGGTCATATGTTGTCATGTCTCATTTCATAAGGAATCCCGGCTACTCCCCAGAGGCCACGCCGTTGACCTCCCCCCGCACGTGTGGTGGGATCTCTCTGCACCCCCCCACCCCCCGTTTTGGTGTTGCTCTGTTTTCGCCGTTCCCGTGGGTCTGTGGTGGCATCTCGCGGTGGTCTGACTCTGCGCTGCCCTCGTGGCCGGCGACGTCTGTGTCCTTGATGCGTTTATTGCCATCGGCACGTTCTCTTCGGTAAAACGTCTCTTGAATCTTGGCCCGTTTCCTAACTTCATGAGCTGTGCGCGCGGCATTGCGCCGAGAGCTTCGCACCGTCTCGGCCCTGGCACCGGCCCCGGCCCCGGCCCCGGCCCTCTGCCGAGCTCGCGGGTCGTGAGGATTCCCCCCCCACCCCCCGTCTTCGCGTGGGGTTTGCCGAGCCAACATCTTAAATTCAATGAGGTCTGGTTAATCGTTTTTTTCTGTTATGGCTCACGTTGATTTTTTCCTTCAGTTTTTCTTTTTTCGAGGACGTTAACGTTTTAGATTTTACGTTTACGTCCGTGATCCATTTTGAGTGAACTTCTGTAGACGTAAGGTGTGGGTTAAAATTCTTTCCCCTCCTTCCGCTTCTGCACGTCCGATCGTGCCGGCGCCATCGCCGCAAACGTTACTCTCCGCCACGGCGAAGCTTTCGTCAGGCGCGGCCGGGCCCGCCTGCGAGCGTCCGTTTGTGGACTCTGCTCGGTCCCATGATGTCCGTGGGTCCCCCAGCCACTACGGCACTGTCCCGATCACTGTCACTCCGTGGCACGGCCGTGCCCGCACAGGCCTCTGCCCTCTGCGCTCCGACGCAGCATCTGCGAGATTCACAGATTTCGTCAGCCAGAGACTCTGAGGAAAACGCTGGCCCCCCGCAGGGCCCTGCTGTCACTCTCTTAAAGGTCGGCTCACATTCCTGAACGCTGACGATCGGCTTTCCTTGCTCCTGGCCCGACAGCAGGGCCAGGAAGACACTAAGCACAGGCAGTAGCTTCTGGGAGCAGAGGCTGAGGGGGCGGCCCGGGCGCGTGCCGAGCTCTGGGACGGGGAATCGCAGGCCGACCGCGCAGGAAGCTCCCCTAGGGACTCTGCTCTCCGAGGCCAAAGGCTAGTGCTTGGCGCTACTTCACCAGTTCCCTTATATTTACAAAACTGAATAGTGAGAGGCATCAGGGAGGTCAGCCTGGCCGGCGCCCCCCGCCACAGGGAGGTGACGCCTTCGTTATGCAGGCACTTGCCCACCGAAGGCGTGCCCACGCCGGGCAGCGGGCGCTGGCACTGTTGGGGCTGGCACACCCACGGGTGCTGGCTGGGATTTGGATCCCTTCTCTCCCACCCCAGACGAGCCAGAGGGAAGCCAGTTAGGGAGCGGGGTCTAACAGGGAAGCTCCTGGATCTGCTCCTCCCCTCCCCGGGCCCACTAGAGCCCCTTGATTGTCAAGCCCCTCGGTGTCATGTTACAGGACCAGTTATTTAGGACAAACCTGCAGACTGTCCCCTCCAAGCCAATCTGTGATGACCTCTCATGTTTTTAAGGCTTGGCTGTGTCTCTGGGGCCCTGACCTGAGCTGCCCCTCGGGCTCCTGGCCTCAGTGGACTCCTGTGTCACCAGCGGAGTCCGTCTCCTGGGGAGGCCCTGTCAGGACGGACACTCGGTGGCTCACGGGGACACCAACACTGTTCCCACTTAAAGCTGCTCTATAAGTCAGCAAAACAGAATTCGTTTTCAAAGTCAAAGAACTCAGATGATCCGCTGGCTCTACGGTTTGTATGATCACCGACGTGGACCAGCACGCGCCACGCTCCCCCGGGGGCCTCCGTAACGGAGGCCGAGACAGTGAGAAACGGTGAGTCGGACGCTTTTGTCAGTTTGGTGGAATTAAATTTCTCAAAAAGATGGAATTAATTTAAAAAACTATATAACCCTTGTCTTCACATATCGACAGTCATTTAAATGTGATTATGATGGGTTGGATTGTGTTCCCCCAGAGACACGGAAGTGCGAGCCCCTAGACCCGTGGACGTGACCTTATTTGGCACATGATCAAACTGAGATGAGGTCACGAGGGGGCCCTGACCCGAGGTGACCGAGTCCTTACGAAAAAGGAAAATACTGGACAGACGCAAACACAGGGACGCGTCACGGGAAGCTGGACACTGTGCTGCCACGGGCCTGGGGACGTGACACGTGGGCGCGGCCTGCGCCCGCCCCCCATCCGGGGGAGCACCGCCTGGTGACGCCACCGTCCAGCTGGGGACGCCGCCGCCGCTTCTGCCCGAGGCGCTGTCACGGCAGCCCCAGTGCCACCGGGACGTCATTCCCCTCGTTATTCGGGACATGATTACGGTTCGTCAGGCTCTGAGCTGGAACAGAACCTTCTCCAGCAGCCGCTGGCTGACGGTGCGGTCACGTCTTCGAGAATTCAGCCTTCTCAGCCCCTCCACATCCTGGGGCAGCAGTCCCGCGTCCCGCCCACGGCGCCCTGAGGGCCAGCCCGGCGCACGGCCACGTGGAAGGGGGTGGAGCCGCGTCTGCCGGCAAGGGTGGCTCAGAGCCGGGGGACCGTGCCTGCTCGTGAAGTCGCCACGGGCAGCCCGCGAGGGCAGCGAGACTCATCTCGAGGGCCGGCCGCGTCGACGTGTTTGTCTGGTTATTGTCACCTTTGGCATATTTTGTAAATCATATCTAAACAGTTCTATTAGCTTTTTAAATTTAATTAGCTTTCCTAGTGATGTCCATCAGGGGAAAAATTCCAGGATATTCTCGGACACATGAAATGGCTCAAAAAAGCAGGAGCCAGCAAAACGAATGGCACCCGCACGCACGACCGTCGCTTTGCCATCGTTCTGCTTGACACGAGAGCTCGTTTCTAGACGCTTTTCGTCGGAAATGATTTCGGACTTACGAGAGCTGCGGAAGAATTCGGCGAGAGCTGCGCACCCTCCGTCAGACCCGGCGGACCCCGCTCGCTCGCCATCTGGCCCCTGTCCACGCGCGCACTGCCCCGGGGCTTCTGTCAAGACTCCAGTGCTGTCGACTGACTGTGGCCTGGACAGCACTGAGGGGGGCGGGAGTGAGTGACACGGAGCTCGGCGAGCCGGGGCGGGCCGGGGCTGGGCGCTCGCCTTCCTGGATGTCCCTGCCTGACTCAATTGTGCTCATAAAAGCGAGTCGAGAGGGCACTGTGGGGGACGGTGCTGGCATCTCCAGGGCGCATGGGCGACCTCGGTGGCCTGGCCACCCCTGCCAGCCGGGCATGGATAATTTGGGAGGGAGCTGCCCAGGGGACAGTCCTTGTGCTCGGTGAGAAGCGCCCACTGCAGAGCTCTCCCGGGCGAGCGGGCCGCTGGGGAGGACAGCCAAGGGGCCCGGCGGGAGAGGACGGGCTGGCGGCCCGCGGCATGTCACAGCCGTGAGTCACCGTAAAACACAAAGGACGATGTGACTTGTAGGTGGTTATGGGTCGCTCCCGGCAACTAGTCCTTCCAGTTTCTAAAGATACAAATCTTTATTATTAATCGTTAAGATGGAGAACACTGCCTCGGACTTAGGAAATTCCCGCAGACCTTTCCCTCAGGTGCCAACACACAAAGGAGGCTCTGTCCCCAAGGCCGCCTGCTCCCATGCCAGTGCGTCCCCGCTCTGCCCCGGGAACACAGCGACACCCACTGCAGAGACCAGGACCCTGCGGCTGGGACACACCGGTGACCGCGCAGAGCGGCCGGCCTGCCAAACAAAACCAGGTTAGAGGTTCGCTGCCACTGAGAACTGCCCACACCTAACCAAGGGGATGTCGGAGGGGCGAAGGCACGGCCGGCTGGGCCAGCTGCCCGGGACACAGGTCATAGTGGCCCATGCTACGTGCCCGCAGCACCACCGGCCACGCTGCACGCTCGAGCTGGGGTGTCATCGGGCGCCTGAGTGGGATAAGGTGCCTGGGAGGGGTGAGAATAAGGTGCTGTGGGGCTTTGACCTGGCCGTCTGTCCTTGTCCTTCACCCGGTGGCAGTGGTTCGGATATGGTATCGTTAGACACAGCACTGGCTTCAAACTTGAGCTATATTCTTGTTTTTAAAAAACTTCATCAATTCCTTTTTTATCATGAATATGGTTTAAAAATTAGCAACAGATATTGCCTTGCATCAAACGCAGTCGTGGAGAACGTCAAATGCTAGTCTCCATTTCTGATAAAGGTTATTTAGTATTTCTAATACTTAAACATTTCTGTTCCTGATTAAAACTCACGATCATAGGGTATTACTCTTTTAACCTGAGGCCGAATTGCGTTTGCCGATGTTGAATGTAGATTTTTTCAGTACTAAAATCAATAAAATTGGTATAGAGTTTCGCCTTTTTAAATTGGGGATGCTTTGGTCCAGTTTGCTCCCGATAATTACTGTTTCACAGAAACGTGTCCGGAGCCGTCTCCTCCATCTCTGGGCCGACCCGTCTACGATGACCACGTTCAGAGGCCCGACCTTCGCCCCTTCTCTGAGGCCACTTGTCATTGTCACAGCCCTCCCCGCAGCACGTCGCCCAGATCCAGGGCTGACCTGTGTTCACCCGGCTGCCGACCTCTGCACGCGGGAGCCGCCTCCGGGTGGCGGTGGTTACGGGGTGGGGAGGTGCTGGGTGAGTCTGAGTGGCAGGCACCTCTGGTTTTCGTTGTCGCCGGGGGATGCCACTCACGGCCACCCCAACGTGTGGCCACGAGTGCTCTGGCTGCAGAGAGTCTCCGGCCCTCAGAGAAGCCACCGCCAGAACGCACTTGGCCCTGGAGCCCGGCTCGTCCTCCTGTCCCGTGCGCCCTTGGAGTGGTGGTGTCCCCGCTCCGATGGCGCCACCCTCACTGTGCTCGGCCGCCATCCTGGGGATCCCGGCCACGGGCCACACCTTCCTGAGTGTCTGGGAGGCTGGGATTTCCGTCTGGGCCCCTCGGTCCCCTCGCTGGTCCCACTTGTAACCACGAGGGAGAGGACACAGAGACATTGCCGCCACCATCTATCTCGAGCTGAAGTCACACTGTACATTTTCATCATTAAGCAGTTCAGGTCCGGCCAGAGGCCACCTGGGCACCTGTGTCACCCACCCTTACAAAACACACAAGTGGGGCTGTGACTTGGACCAGGGACTGTGTCAAACCTCCTGTAGGACTTAAAAGATAAAGTTGACAAATACATTTTCATTCACTTACCCCAGTAGCTGGGTCAGCAGAAGCCCTCGCCGAGGGCTGGTCTTCCGGCCTGGCTTCTAGGGGGGCCCCAGGCCGCTGTTCTGGACGAGGCGACCGCGGGCTGTCGGAGCAGCCAGTGACCTTGAGCAGCAGCTCATCCAGCAGACACGCAAACTCGTCCAGGCAGGGGTGCTGCGGGAGGGACTCAGGTCAGGAAATGCTCGCGGGGCCCGAAGCATCTCGCGGCCCCGGCTTTACGTGGCCTGTGCTCTGTCGGCGAGCTCGCTGGGCCTGGGAGAGGGGACCGGGGTGCCGGGTCTGGACCCCCCATCTCAGTTCCCTCCTTCGTGACGTCACAGGCAGGTGTGCGCACGCCACACACAGGCCTGTTCCTCAGTGCCAGGGTTCAGAGTGCCTGCCTACATGAAGGGCTGTTCGATGGACTTGAAGGCCACGTGCGTGGAAAAGTGCCTGACGAACAGTAACGTGCTGTGAAACACACAGCATCATGGCTGCACCCGGCTGGCCTCGGAACGCCTGGGCGCTGCCCAGTGTCGGCCGAGGACCCCGCTGGGCGTCAGGGTGCAACTTGTCCGCACTCAGGTCGGGGTGCCTATACTCAAATACCTGACTAAAGGGACAGGGGGGTGTGCGCACGAGTGTGTGCTGGGGAGAGCCACGAAGCCCACCCCACAGGGTCACGCTAAAGCATAGGGAGTTAATGGAGGAGAACGGGCTTGTAAGCTGTAAAGTGCTTCAGGACAACCTGTGTCTCTGCAATGACATGCGGCACAAAATCACCATCGTGCTTTATCAGTGAGCGCGGGAATCCGCAGCAAAGCCGCCAGCCCCGGGCCCCCGGCTTACGTGGCCCTCACGTGCCTCGGTCCCCTCCTGCGCCGGCCGCGTGCAGGCCGTCCCCCACACGCAGGCAGCCGCGTCTCTAAGTTGCACAAGAGATTGGCTTTGGAAAGGTTTTCTTTTTCGGGCAAAAGTCATGAAGGAACCTCTCAGCTGAGAAGAGACAATAAAAACAAATTTCATGTAATTAAGCGAAAAAAATAGCCTTTTCAATTTGTTCGACTGCAACGTGGAGACGACATGCGACGATGCTCTGCTTCCTTCCGGAAAGACAATCGTTGCTTAGCAAGACAATCAGCCGACGCTCACGAACTGAGCCCAACTGCAGCGAGCTGAACCCCGCGCTGGACGTTAACGCTGCTCCAGAGATGCTGTCAACGCGTACAGCCTAGGACCGGGGCTGCGGGGCCGGGCCGTGCTCCCGGAGGCGCTGCAGCTCACCGGGCCCCGGCGAGCCCCGCCAGGTGGCACGGGAGCCCTGGTGCGGCTGTGCGCGTGCTCGTCCCGGGGGATGGGGAAAGGCACAGACGTGGCAGCCACCACTCCGTCATGCGCGTCGCACAAAAGAGCCAACGGCCGTCTGTGCCCAGTGGTCCCAGGCTGTTTCTTCCTCCACTGCAGGCTGCGACCTGCTCGCTCGAAAGCCTGTGGCACTGAATTTCTACGCACTCGAGTGTTTGAAAAACAGCCCGAACAAGCAACGTTTTAGCCGTTTAGCGCCTGCTTTGCATGCCCTGCAAAACCTTGCCAGACAGCTGTCACTCACTGGTGATCGGGGCCCCTGGACGTGGCTGCCCCCGAGAACACTCTCATGCAGACCTCCTGCGTGCTGCCGGGCGGCACCCCCACACACGTGAGGCCCAGCGTAACCCTCCCCCAGGCCCCCTCCCGGGCGTCTCCCACATGCTAACCCGTCAAGGATCGCCCACACACAGCTTCGTAAGTGGGTAAAAGCTCTGCAGCTGGCGGGGAGCCAGGGACAGCATCTAGGTGACACCACACTTAACGCTGTCTTCTGAGAGTGCCAAGGACTTATGCCCGCCGGGCCACAGGGTGGGGAGACTTGGAGGGGGGCAGTGAGGGGGAGGGAGCAGCTCGTGCAGGGCCCCGTGCGCCGTCAGCGCTCAGGGGCACTGTGCCCAGTTGGGCATGGAGCATGGTCTCCAACCCTGAATCTTCAACAGGAACACCTGGAGGGGTTCCTGAAAATTGGGCTGCTGGGCCCCATCCCCGAGAAAGGGTGCAGTAAACCTGGGTGGGACCTGGGGAGGAGCTGGCTGAGAGCCTGCAGACCAGGGTGGCAGAGCAGGGGACAGCTGAGGCGGGGCAGGTGGCCGGAAAAAATATAAGATGCCCTCATATTTTAATTTCAGGTAAACAACAGAAAATGGTTAAGTACAGGTACTTAAACAGCGATATACTGACTCCAAGGGATTATTCATCATCTGCTGAAATTTGACTATTAACCGGATATCTGTAATTTATTTGTGAATCTGTCACACTAAGTGCGGGCGGTGGGGGAAGGTCGGGGAATCCTCTTCCTCCACTGAAGGAGTTTAAGCCAGTGGCTATGTGCGTGTGTGCACCTGTGCGTGTGTGTGCAGTGTGCACGTGCATATGTGCAGGGTGAGTGTGTGTGCGCGTGTGCACACACGCACAGTGTGCAAGCACAAACATGTGCCTTATCACGCACACATGTGCAGCGTGCAGTGCATGCGTGAGGTGTGCACATGCTTGTGTGCAGTGTGCATGTGCACGTGCGCACACATGTGCATCTGTGTGCATCTGTGGACCTGTACCGTGTGCATATGCGTGCAGGGTCTGTGCATGTGTGCGCACATGCATCTGTGTGTACATGTGCGTGCAGGTGCGTGTGTGCATGCGTGTGCTGTGACTAGATTTGCCAGTAGCAGATCAGTAGTGTGTGTGCACCTGTGCGCATGTGCACACACGCGCAGTGTGCATGCACAAACATGTGCCTTATCACGCGCACATGTGCAGTGTGCAGTGCATGCGTGAGGTGTGCAGATGCTTGTGTGTAGTGTGCATGTGTGCGTGCGCACACATGTGCATCTGTGTGCATCTGTGGACCTGTAGCGCGTGCATATGTGTGCACACACGCATCTGTGTGTACATGTGTGTGCAGGCGCGTGTGTGCATGTGTGTGCTGTGACTAGATTTGCCAGTAGCAGATCAGTAGGAGGGAGGTGCACAGGGAGCCCTATTCCTAACTCAGCCCTGAACTCAGAGAACACGTCCCACGACGCTGGCTGATGGCGTGATGCTGTAAGATGGAAAAACTTGGAAAATATTATTTGGTGAGGGACGGCCTGCAAGGCCACAGCGAGAGATGGCAGGAAGGGCCGTGGCTCAGTGCTGCCCGGGCTGGGGGGCTCCCTGGAGGAGGCGGCACCCTGGACCGGTCAGTAGTCCTGCCAGAACTGTCAGGCTGACTGCTGAGCCCCTGCCCGGAGCAGGAGAGAGGGGCCTCAGGGAGTGGCGGCCACGAGGTCCGGCCTGCAGGCGGGGTGTACACTTACCATCCCAGACCACAGTGCGCTCACGCCCGCAAGGAGGGTCACGCAGAGCAGAGCCGCAGCCCGC